GCCTTTTACGACCAAGTAACTAAATCCTTGGATGATGGTGTCGCTATGGACATAGTCTTTCTAGACTTTAAGAAGGCCTTTGACACGGTCTCTCACCCTATCCTCATCAGTAAATTAAGCAACTGTGGCATTGATGCCTACACAGTTGGATGGGTAAAAAATTGGCTGATGGGGCGCACCCAGAGAGTAGTGATGGACGGGTTGTACTCGACCTGGCGAGATGTGAGCAGTGGGGTACCCCAGGGCTCGGTCCTTGGGCCCACACTGTTTAACATCTTCATCAGTGACTTGGACGAGGGGGTGGAAAGCACGCTGTCCAAGTTTGCTGATGACATTAAGATGTGGGGCGAGGTGGACACACGAAGGGAGAGAGAGGCTGCAACTAGATTTAGACAGACTACAAAAGTGGTCAGACGAGAATAGGATGGGGTTCAATGTAGACAAATGCAGGGTGCTGCACCTTGGGAGAAGGATCCACAGCATACATACAGGCTGGGGAGTTCCCTTCTTGAAAACACAGAGGCGGAAAGGGATCTTGGAGTCAGTATCGACTCCAAGATGAACATGAGCCGCCAATGCCAAACCGCAGCCAGCAAGGCCAGCCATACCTTGTCATGCATCCAAAGGTACATTTCAAGCCGGTCCAGAGATGTGATACTCCCCCTCTATGTGGCAGCCCCGACACTTTAGCACCCTTGTTACCATCTACACATGCATTTCAGTGCACATAATTACTCTTCTGTAAGATAGCACTGTCCTATGGCACAGTTAATTAATTTACTGTGCCTGAATACTAGCACACCTATAGACAGTGACACTTTACTGGGAAGCTAATTAGTCAACTCCACAGTAAAGTGCATGTGTAGATGCACGCTGCGTTTTCAAATTTGCTTCTCACTTCCATGTGCTTAGGGAGAGTGGGGTCTAACAGTAAGTTGGGAGAACAGAGGGCGACCAGACTCCCCAGATTTATTTTCCCCACTGTAGCAGCAGAAGGGGGACAAATTCAAGGCAAGCTTCCAAAAATTAGATTGTATACCCAGAAAATTATAACAAATGTATTAATTTTCTGGATATGGAATTGAATTATTGGAGGGTTGGCTTATATTCAAGGTCATCTTATATTTGAGTAAATACGGTAGATACTTTTACTTGTGTAAGACCAAGATTATACTCTCGGTAGTGTAAATCTTCAAGTTTTCCCCAAAGACATCTGTCCATTGCTCTTTAAGAAAGGAATATACAAATATACAGTAATTTACTGATATTCTGTTCTGAGGCAATAAAACAGCAGCATTCTTGTAACTGCAATGTTACCCATCTGAAAGAATAGGAGAGACAGAAACGCTTTGGACTGAACAACCCAGAACTTTTTTGCATTAAGTTTGGCTAGACTTCTCTCTTAGAAATCCAGGGACCAGGTTCCAAGAGATTTTGAAGTAAAATTGTATGTATATTTAACCCACAAGTTATAATTTGAGAGTCACCTGTTCTCTTTCTCATCTATGTCAGATGTACTGGCCAATCGCCTTGGTATTGTAGGTGCAACATATGCAAGTCTAGTTCCTTTACCATCCTTTTCCTGCAAAAGACAAATATTTTTTAGGAGTGAAAAATAGCTCTGTAGAGGGTCGCAAGTGATGTTAAAAGTGAAAATAAAGTTTGTTAAACAGCTGCTAATTATACTGCCATCCATCTGTTGAGAATTTTTTTAGGCCAATTCTAGTTAGATTTTGCCAGGTTAAACTGTACAATTGGCTCCAATCAGAGGTTAAGAATAGCAAAGCACCACTGTGAGAACAGCAAACTGTTCAAAGCATCTAAAAGTCTTAATTTTCTACAGCATTTGATTTTCTATTATTGGGACTCCAAAAGGTTGGGTTTAAAATAGCAATGGCCAACTATGTCATGACTCGATGGGGGGGTCAGACTCGATGATCTATTGAGGTCCCTTCAGACCCTAACACCTAACATCTATGTCTTTACACAGTATAGTGGCAGGGTGTTTTTCATAAATCTGTAAACATATTTAAATCAGGACCCTGTGCAAGAAGACATAAGTACTTGAAAAAGGAATGACTGGACTTAAGAAACTCAAAGGGACAAAGTAATTAGTTGCTCAAATACCCAAACAAGCTATGCAACTATTTTGGCACAATAATTCACAGTTTAATTATGCTCCCAACAATAGGTGAATGAGGGGGTATAAAAAGCTTCCCTTTTGACTTCACTTACAGTACCCACATGTAAGGGACAGAAACCATCACAGTTCTTGCACTTGATGAAGTGCAAGCCTTGGGACCAGATAAACTGTTTTGCATGGTTTGAGACCCTTTCCAAAGGTGGCTCAAAACTTGCAGTTCTGGGGCAGCTCTAACCCCTAGCTGTAACTGTAGCTTCATGCATCAATTTAATTTTTAAAGATTAAGAGCACTGTAACTGCTGTAATGAAGTAATCTTTAGGACTGCATATTACATTCAATTTACATCATAATTAACATTTACACTAACTGTATTAGTGGGTATTTTCAAATGTTTTATATTCTGAAAATCGATTACCTTTTCTTTGTTGTCTAATGAAGAGGAGAGCCTGGGACTTGAAGCTGAACGCATGACACCTGTGGAGTCCTTTTCTTTCTGAGCTTCTTTGGAAGCTGTAATCTCTGCAAGTGCACCATAACTACCAGTCTTCCGAAGCCCTAACCTCCAGGAAGCAGGAGATTCATCTTTTCTCTCTTCCTCTTTTGGAGAAACTTTGGTTGTTGAAGTTGGAAACTAAAGGGGAAAGAGAGACATCAACAAGTTTAAGACCTTTAATCCACACTAACTGATATTTCATTTAACACACATTGCAAAATATGCTATTTTCAGTAAATGTACAAAAAATGTTGTGGGGGAGAGAGGGAGGAATGAAACAGCTTACACACTTCCTGGGTACGTTAATGACATAAATAAATAGCTGGTAAAAGGAATACAACATTTTCTAAAAGTTAGCTTTAAAAAATCCACACTTTAACACACATTGTGATAATGAGGCAAACAAAAATTTACACACCATTTAAAACCATGCAATCGGGTATGAACAGTTTGATTAAATATGTTATTTTGCAACCTGAAAACAAAATCTTGTGCACACCAAAGTCTCACCATAGACTTTTCACCCTTACTGGGCACAAGAACAATGCCAGTTTTTCGCAAGCCCTGTCTCCATGATGTAGGATCTACTGACTCCACCACTGGGATGATAGGAGGAATGAAATCATACTAAAGCCAATTAAGACAAGACAAAGATAAAGAATGAAAGAATGGAAATGGGGGGGAAGCTGTTTTTAAGTCACACATTTGAGTCCTTGTTCATGTATGCTGCTCATCGTTAAAGAACACAAAATATTTAAGAGAAGAAAAACCATTTTAATACCTTTAATAACTTTAATGCTATCTGCCCATGCAGATGTACCTGCAGTAGCTTCATTACCAAGATACTATCAGTGTCACTGCAGCCCATGTGCTGCACAAGCCTATCAGGATCTTAGGGATGTACTTGATGGTTGAGATCCAACCCCCATGCTATTGGCAACTGAGATAGTTTAAAGCTACCTTGGGTATGTCCACAGTGAACATTTACCATATTCAGAAATAAATCTTGATATAGATATCTATAATCCATTATGTTATCAAAGTGCAACATACTGGGAGTGCACATTTCAAGAAAGTTCACTTGATCTATGGTACGGAAATTACAGCAAAACACATGCCACGCTTTATACAAAAGAGGCTGGAACATTTGTACCCAAGTAGTTTGTAACCCACTTTGTTCGTATAAGATTGCTGAATGAAAGACAAGCCCCTCTGCAACAGCTGCACAAGGATTGTTGAGATGCTCCTGTGGTTTGTTGCAGCTTGCAACTTCAAGGACACTACCCAAATCAGCTGGAGTTTATCAGTGGCCCCCACACAGCTGATCAGAGAAGAGGCACCTTTTGGTGCCACCCTCCTTTCATAGGACTTCAGACTCAGAGGATGAATGC